AACGCGCACACCACACAACCACATAATAGTAAGTAGTGATCTTCCGGGTTGTTTTATGTAAACACCACATGGTCACATGCCGAATTAGTTCCCGTGCCTCTCGCGTACTGACGTACCTCGTGGTGCACGCCCAACTAACACCAACCTATATGCACACCAACTCCGCCGTAGCTAACAATCCCGTCTGTGAGTAGGTAGACTTACACTTGGATAAGCCCGGCGAAACGTTGTGTTAGTTGGTCCGTGCGCTGTCATGTTTTCTCGACGGTACGCCTGGATACACAGCATCGAATCGACGTTTGCTTCGTAACGTAATTTCACACGCGGCCATACAAATTGGGCCCCGAAAAGGAAATATATAGAGAATGCTGTGTGCCTTTCTATGTTGACGGGAACCCGTGCTGTCAGTTCTCAGCGCCCAGGTTTCCCCTTCAAAAAAAAAAAAAAAAAACGGGAGGGGGGAGGGGGGGGGGGATCTCGACAGTTCCTGTCATTCAAGAAGTGCGAGTTTTGGGCCAGTCACGGCCTTCAATACTTCGATATCATCTGCGATTCAGACACGATGACGTTCCGGATTCCCTAGAAAAAGCTGGACAAGCCACGTGCCATACTACGAACTGCTCTCGCCGATGGATGCTTGTCGAACCCCGCAACGCGTTGGGGGCAAGTGAATGACCATGACTGTGGTGATCCGACTGGCGTTACTTTGGACGCATGCGACGTTGCCGTCCTTCCCAGATGGTCAAAACCATCCAAAGTCGGGTCGATCTGGCATGTAACGCTAACGCATCTGCGGGAAGAGTTCCAAAAAGCGTCTTTCTCTGACGGTTTCCTCGCACGAAAGGCCCTGACAGCGAGCAAGCCACCCTCATCGTCCAACTTGACGCATCATCGGACGCGTCTTCCCTAGGCTGGGGTGGCGTTTTGTCAACATCGGGGGAGCCCAGTACCGCACTGGTGGTGTGATCCCAACTGATTGGCTGCACAAGCACATCAACAAGGAGATGTTTGCGTTGTACCAGTTGTCGCGACTCTTTCCGTGTGCGCTTTCCGACTGACTTGCAGCGGGCTCAAGGGTTCATCGACGTCGCGTTTGTTGGAGCTACAGATCGAGTACCCAGTGGCTGCTAATGTCGTCGCTGATGGTATCTCGCTGCCCTGGCGCGAAAGCATCGTTCGTCTAAACCCCGAGGGTTTTCCGTGCTCTCTGGGAGAATGTGCGGCTGGTCGCCGTCGTTCTCATGGCTTCGGCGACCGAACAACGTTGTTGCTGAACGCAGGCCTCGGACCAAGACGCGTTCGAATGCCTCTGATTCTTGGGCACATAACGTAGAGGCACCAAGTGGGTGCACGACAGAGCCATGCTTTGGCGTATAGACTAGGTATGATACAATTTCGCGCATGCCTTCTAGTTTCGCAATGCGCTAACAGTACACAGCCGCGTCGATGCAGAAAGGGATCGTGTCCAAGTTGAAGATGGCGATCCAAAAGCAGTTGGGGCAAGACGGCAGCTGGGACCCTGTTACGCGGTCGGGCGACCCGTGTCGTAGTCCTCTCGTAGAACCCTACGTCATGTTTTAGGAACGGGGGATGTGTGGCACAGTTGCTGGATGGACCTGCAATCGCTGTTATCATGAAAAATTGCCGGGCGGCGTACCGATAGCGTCGCACTTGGCGCCTACTAGTGTAGGAACGGCGGGTTCCAAGACGAGGCGTAGCGACTACTACCCTGACTAAAACACGTTGCCGATTGTCGGCCGGCCACGCATACATTCGATTTTCTACGTGTGCGTGCCGCGGAAATAAGAAAGTTTGGGTGGGGAGAGACCTACCTTAGAGGCTTGTGTGGTCAAAGCAATATATGGCAGATCAGACAATCAACAGGAAAGTAATGGGCGGGACCACAGGCCGGTGCAGGAGGCCTCACCCAACCCAATCCAATACTTACATTGAATGATCTAGGTAAGGGACAAGAATACAACAGTAATGTCGGATTTGAGACGAATCCGGATTTCGGAACGAAATCGGGAAGAGTCAGATATCCCATGAAGCATGTTGGAAAATGACTCTACCTTGTTCAGTCCCCTTTCTCTCTCCCGAAATACGCCGGGGCAGAGGAGAAAGAATAAATATTTGAGACCATCCCACCCGCCCTACGAATACTGTTTCTATTCATGAACTTGCTGATCATTCAAACGCTTCGGGTCTGGGCATATTGCGATCTGTATGCCCAGCCCGAAGAGTTACTTCACGGCGAGGCCCTCCTGTCGGTGCAGGAGGCCTCACCCAACCCAATCCAATACTTACATTGAATGATCTAGGTAAGGGACAAGAATACAACAGGAATTTGAAAACTCAACGGATTCGGACGAATTGGACCTGCACCCACGACATACATTTTTTATTTTTTTCCAAAGATTTTTTTTGACGACATATGGCCCTTCAAAGGTTTGTGTGTTCACACACCGCCACGCATGACCACACGACACACCACCATCCACCTCATACAGCAGTAGTACCACACGCCCCCACAAGGGCCCACACGAGCCCACACATGGCTGGGCGTCCTCCCGGCAAACGAAAGAAGCGTAGCAGCTTCCAAACAAGACCAGGTGGTGGCCGGTTCGGCGCGAGACGGCCACCTGCAGAACTACTCGCTGCGGAAGCTGCGGACACTCCATCACAACATGACAACGACACGTGTTATGAAGGAGACGAAGAGGACCACAGCAGCAGCAGCAGCCAACACAGCAGTGACGGCGACCTCGGCAGCTGTCGTTCGGGCGGGAGAGGTCACGTATCTATCTTGACATATTTATCTCTGTAGAACAAGTGTTGCTTTTTTGCTGTTGCGGAGAGGGTGCTGAGAGGGGGGGAGAAACAAGCACGGATAATCGACGGGGGCCACAACCAACCTGGTCACTTCAGATTGTGCGCTGGAGCGTTTCGGGGCAATGTGTGCCGTTTCGGGACAATTTTAGGGTAGTTTCGGGTCGTTTCGGGGTAATTTCGGGGTTATTTTTTCAAAACAACCGGTTATTTTCGCCGATTTTTCGTTTACACCGGATTTCGATGAATCATGGTCGGTGCTTGCCAACTTTGTTTCACGTTTCAACTCTCAAAATTGAGCGAGAAAAAGTGGGGGTCACGTTGTGGCAAAATTTAACCGGATGGACTTTATGCATACAGCAGCATACCACGATCCGCTGTCTCCGATCCAATCCCCAGCAGTGCGGATCGTCCAAAAAGGCAGTCACAGATATCACCCGTTCAGAGCTTGCCGGTAAAGGACTTGATGCTCAACATGGTATCAAAATGAGAACTTGAGCAGTAGCGGGCATTTTTTTCGTGTAGCCCAAGAAAAGAGGGATCCTACTGTACACCCCGGCCTCCCTCAAAACTACAGTAGAGTTTTTTGGGGGCGGGCGCTATGTACATCTGTAGCACATACCGTAATTAATTGTGCGTGTAATGGCAACGGCGTGCGATCGTAATGTATTGCTAGGCTTTTCGTACCCCGGAGACTTAACACCGACGGCATCACACCGACGCCGCCGGTGCAGATTTGAAGTTGCCGGTGCGGATTATCAATTGAATCGTTTCGTTGTACAGTAAATTTTCTAACCCCCCCCCTCCCGGTACCCCCCCCCCTCGGGATTGGGTTTTCGTCGCTTGGCAACGACGTTGTAAAACAAGCCAATTCACTTCGTGAACTCGGCAACCAGGTTACCGTCTTTTTTTTTTACCTCTGGTTTTTTTTTTGGCGGTAACCATAATGGTGGTCGAGTAGATCATGTTGTGCGGGGTCGAGAAACCTCACTCCGCGCAACGGGGGATGATCGCACCACGTTGTGTTAAAATGGTCAAGCTTCCTCGAGGCAGTTACACAGTGCTTACAACTGTCTCTGGAAGTGAAAGCACCAGAAAATAAATTAAGTCATACGTAGCTGTCATCCGTACGCAAGCAAGTAAGCACAAGATGCCGACCACCCTTAGCAGGATGCAGCTCACCCTTCATGCGACTCGCCAAATACCTCACGGCGCTTCGCGCTTGGTGATGTGAGAGCCTGGTCCGGTGAGAACCCGGCGTGCTCCGTCCCGGCTTTGTAGGGATGCGAGGTCAATGGTCAAACGACTACGGCATGCACGACTATGAGTACACCCCCCCCCCCCCCCCCCCCTT